GGTGCCAAAGGGCCTCCACAGGGGGAAAGCCTGGTGTCAGAGACTTTGGATGGATCGCACCCTTCACTTCCTTTCCGGTCACCCTCGGAGCAGGCAGCCTCTTTCCTTCCCTGTAATACACAGATTTCAGAGTAGGGGACCATGCTCAAAGGGAGGGGAAGGGAAATCCCCTGCAAGGGGCTGGCCCACAGAACTCCCCTCTGCGGTTGCTATGGAAACACTCACAATAGGAACAAAACAGAGGCATGTTGCCTGGCAACAGAGGAGCCCAAGATTCATCACACACAGTTTACACATGTATCAGGGAAACACCCCCCCCCCCCCCCCCCCCGGTGGGAGCGGCACTGCTGGGGACGCTGGGGTATCCCGGTGACGACAACAAGCAGTCCTGGAGCTCACCAAGCTTTGCCAGTGAGACTAGAGGACCAGGTGCGGGATGCCCTGAGGAAGGTTGGGGGTGTTGATCCTCCGTAGCCCTTATTTCGACAGAGCAGTCTGAGACCCTCTTGAAGATAAGGTTTTCTTGCAAATGCTGGGACTGAGGAGACTCTTTATGACTAAATATTAGTAGTGTGTCTATGTGTGTGGGGGGGGAAGTACTCATGTCAAAGATAATGTCCCATTTCCCTGAAGACAGGCCTGAATGGAACTCCAGTACCAGGTCAGGGGACACCACAGTCTCCCTCTGGGTAGAGGCCTGCGGGTGGATGGGCTTCCCTGTGTCTGGTTCTAGCCCCCAGCCACCCCCAACCCCCACCAGGTTGGCAGAGGCTGTGTGTGTACCAGCATGGGTCTGCCAGTGGGGGACTGATCCCTGGAGGCTGGGGTTGGGGCAAGCTTTGCTTTGTCCTCATGGGAGACTTGGGGGTGCAAGATGTTGCTGTGAAAAGAGTGAGTCCTTTGGGGCTGTTAACACATGTAGCTCATTCAGTCTCCCCAGAAAGCTACTGGGCATGCAACAGTGCAGGGAGCACCTGCCCCCAGGGAGCTGAGCTGCTGACCAAAAGGGTGCTCTGACTCCCACTGGGACTTGTGTGTCTTTAGAAGATCACTACCCTCCCTCCCTGATATCTCTTCCCAGAGTGCGGATTGCTGAGCTGAGGTGAGAAGGGGCCTGCTGTGGTGTCAGACACCCCCCCTCTAAGGTAGCTTGGGGAAAGGGGTGCAGCAGTGGGTAGAAGAAAGGTTGGCAGAAATTTTAAAAAGTATGTGTCTCCTGAGCTCTAAATCTGAGGCCTACAGTGGTGGTGGTCGAGGGGAGGGGTCCAGACAGGGGCAGGAAGAGCACAGGGTTGTGGTCACAGGGCGATGGTGGTGGGAGAATTATGGGGATGACACCTGAGGGGAGAGATCAAATATTGTACAAAAATGAATGACCATGTAAGAAAATAAATAATAATAATAATAATAATAATAATAAAACAAAAAAAAACAAACAGACTTGGGGCAAATAAAAAAAAAGTATGTGTCTCTCATTACACCATTGAAATCTTTTTTTTTTTTTTTTTAAAGATTTCTTTATTTTTTATACAAGAGCTGGGGTACAGGCCAGAGGCATGGGAGGGTGAGAGGATTCACCAGAGACAGAGTGCAGAGCAGAACAGGCAGACTGACTGAAATACACTGCTGAGGGGAGCAGTGGGCGAGACAAGAGAGGTCTGCCACGCCATGTGGGAATCTCCCTGGCTGGCCAGAATCGAACCCATGCTGCAGAGGCTGTGGACAGCTTCACAACACTGCACTCAACCTGCTGTGCCACCCGGGAGGCCCATCATTGAAATCTTTTTGAAAATATTTCCTCCCCTGTGCTGAGGAGGTGACCTAGAAACCCCCAACTCCTGTTCTAACAGGCATAAGTGTGGGTTTTTTTTATGGGGGGGAGCTAAGTTACCCCTTCTTTAGGCTTCTAGTCTGAAATGGCTGGAAGGTCCTGCCCCCAGGAACTCTCCCCACCAGGGATCATGACATTTCCTTCTAAATGAAGTCCAGGACAGTGATTCCTGCTCCGCTGCTCCCCAACCAGCCACTCCTGCCTTCCCTGTTGACCAAGAGGGTGGCCAGGACAAACAGTGGAGCAGATAAGCTGGCTCTGAGCCTGGGACACACTGGTGTCTGCTTTTTCACTCCTAAGGTGCTGATGGAGCCCAGGCCAAGACACAATACATCCTCCACTCTTCTTCCTCCCCCAGCTCCTCCCTCCACCCTCCTCCCCATCCCTTTTCCAGCACATACCCTCGACCTGCGTGGCGTTTTGTCATAGTATAGCTGTCTTCCTGAAAACCTAATACATATCTACTCCCATTTTAATATACACTGGGAGAGCTTGCACTTTCTTTTTCTTTTTTAAAGATTTATTTTATTTATTTATGTATACAAGAGCTGGGGTATAGGCCAGAGGTGTGGGGTGGGTGAGAGGATTCATTAGAGACAGAGTGGGGAGCAGGACAGGGGTATCCACTGAAACACACTGCTGAGGGGAGCAGCTGGCTAGAGAGAAAGGAGAGGTCTGCTGCTTGGTGTGGATCACAGTGGCTGCTGATAGCTTCACAGTGCTGAGATTTAACCCCTTGCGCCACCAGCCACCAGGGAAGCCCCATAAAAGTCTGCACTTTCAAGGAACCAAATGGTTCATCAAGTTAAAAATTCTTTGACAAACTGTTACCAGCGGTTACTTTTGGGGAGAGGGCCTGGGAAGGTGAAGAGGGAGAGGGTACATTTTATTTTATTTTATTTTATTTTATTTTAAAGATCTATTTATTTGTACAAGAACTGGGGTACAGGCCAGAGGCATGGGAGGGTGAGAGAATTCACTAGAGACAGAGCAAGAAGGGTACATTTTATTATCCATCTCTGTATTGTTTCCATTTTCTGCCATATGGAAGGATTGATTTTATTTTAAAAATATCAGAGGGCCTCCCTGGTGGCACAAGGGGATAAGTCTGAGCACAATGAAGCTATCCGCAGCCACTGCAGCATGAGTTCGATCCCCAGCCAGGGAGCTGACCCACATAGCTCAGCAGACCTCTCCTGTCTCCCTGCTGCTCGGCTCAGCAGTGTATTTCAGTAGATCTGTCTGTTCTGCTCCCCACTCTGTCTCTGGTGGATCCTCTCACCTCTCCGTACCCCTGGCCTACACCCCAGCTCTTCTATGCGAAAAAAAAAAAAAAAGAAAAATCAACAAGGATGATATGATTTGATTTGTAGGATTATAGCCACTTGATCTGGATTTTTGGCCCATATTTAAAAAATGAAATACATGTTATTTAAAATGAAATAAAATGTAAAAAGTCATTGGTTAAGGAAATAGTATATTTTTGGTTTTTATTTCTTGAAAGTGTCTCAAAGTTGAAAGTTTAGCTTTTTTCCCTTTAAATCAGGTAGAGGGTGGGAAAGAGGTGCAGAACCAGATGGGGAAGGAGGGGAGTCTTAGGAAAGTCTGGGCCTGTGACTGTGTGCTTGTCATGTGGGTGGCAGGCCCACCTCTGCTGTGGGTTTGAGTCACTTATCTGGGTACCTGTGTGTGTGTGTGTATGTGTGTGTGAAAGAGAGAGAGAGAGATGAGAGAGAGAGAGAGAGCGCCCGAGAGCGGGTGTGCCCAGGAGAGCGCGTGCGCAGGTGAGAGGGTGCTGGTGCCCAAGTCTCTGCTTTGTCTGTGTCTCTGCATGTCTCTGCCTGTCCAAATGTCTGCACATGTGCCTCCACCTTGCTGTGTCCATTATACGAGTGTCTGATGTCTGTAGCTCCCTAAGTTCCTCTTCCCTCCCCCATGGCTTGTACCCTGTGCGGGTAATCGGACCTGGGACACAGCCCCCAGGCTGGCAGCAGACTGCTGCTGGGTATTTTTAGCCTGTAAACATGTTGTTTGCCATTTAGTAGGACAGGGCGGCTGGTCTCAGCCCCAGCCCACTCACGATCTTGCCGCGAGGAGGGCGCTCCTGCCCGGCCAGGGTCCTCTCTCCCCCAGCCTGGGGTCTTCCTTCCTCAGCATTTGGGAAGGAAACGCTCCTGGCACCAACTGGGCAATGGCAGCCTCCTGGGAGGGAGGATAAGAGGATTCATGGAGGAGAAGCAAATGGGGTCTGGAAGGGGGTGCTTGTAGCCAGAAGGTCCCTGAACCCCATCATTAAGCGGTTAATAAAATCTCCAGGGAGTTAGAAGTGGCTGTGGGAAATGGCTGTAAATTTGGAAACTGGCGTCCTGCAAATGGGGGTGTGGGGGAAGGGCTCCGGCAGGGCCCTAAGAAATGAATGGGAAGGCGGAGGCAGAGCTGGACTCAGGCTGCTCTCGGGGGCTCGGAGGGGACGGTGGGCAGCGGGGAACACTCGCCCAAGGGCTGCAGCAGCCGGAGCTACCCCAGGGGCGGGTGTCCTGGTGACCCCGACTCCAGGGGGCAGAGCCAGGGTCTCCAGGCCGGCTGGGTATGGGGAGGCGAGAGCTGGGCGCGGCTGCGTGGAGCTTGGGGACGAGCGAGGAGACTGGGCCTCGGGCTTGAAGGGTCATCGCCCGCGATAAGAGGAAACTCAGAGACACATGTCAGGCTGGGGCAGCGGCTGACTCACCCAAGCCCCCCAGGTACTTCCAGCACCCCTAAATCCTTCCTGTCCAAACGGATCCATTAGAAGTTCCAGCTGTGAGGATGTGCCTCGGGAGCTTCGAGTCTCTCCCGGATGGAGCCAAACCCGGCAGGCCTTGGGGGTACTCCAGGCTCCGCGGCCGGGGCGGGGGGTGGGGTGGCGTTGGTGGGGGAGGGGGAGAAGCGCGTCAGACGTGCGGTACCCCCGCGCCCCGCGCCCTCGGCCCCCCCGCAGCCTACTCCCGGGTCCCTCCAGCGTCGGCCCGGCCCGCTGGTCCCGGCCCCACCCCGGCCCCGCCCTCGCGCTGCTCTGGGCCGACCCGCCCGCCCCGTCGGAGTTACAAGAGCCGCCTCCGCGCGAGGGGGCCCGGCCACTCGGAGCAGCTCTGCCGCGGGGACTGCACCGCCCGCCCTGCCGGACCCGTCCCAAGCGGGGCTCGCCGCCTGCTGCAAGCGCCGCACCGCGACCTCGGCCCGCGCGGGCTATGGCTGCCCTGGGGCTGAGCGCGCAGGTAGGGGCCGGGCGCTCCGTGGCGCGGTCTGGGGCCAGGACCCCGGGACCGGGTAAGGGGTGGTGGGTGGCAGGACCTGGGCGAGGCGCTTGGGGCGCGCGTCACGGCGAGGATTCAGTGTGGTGCGCGCTGGACAGCCGGGGCCGCGCGGCAGCGGCGCGTCCGCGGAGCCCAGTTCTGTCGCCGGCGTCGGGCGCGATCTGTGCTCGGGTCCACATTCCTCTCCCGGCTGTGGTTGCTTCTGTACCGCGGGGCGCCCCTTCCCGGCCTGGTGACCCCGTCCCACCCCTCCCTCCCTCTCCGCGGGGCGGTGTCTCCGGACGCTGCTCCGCTGCTAGCGGTGTTTACTGGAGAAGTTTCCGAGATCGCCGCCGGGGTCCCTGGATCCCTCCAGGAACCCCGGCGCCCCGGCGGCGCGCGCCCCCTCCGCGGTACCTCCGGGCGCCCCACACCTCCTCCCCTCCAATGTCGCGTCGCGAGCTCTCCGGCCCCACCCAGCGCTGTACCAGCCGCCTCTCCCTTCTCGCTCCGGGCGCCCCCCCACCTCTCCCCTCCAGCGGCCCCGCCCTAGCCTTGCCCCTCGGCGTCTCCCCCCGGCCCCCGCCCCAGAAAACTCCCCTCATTCTCTAGAACCGCGGCGCGTGGAAGTTTGAGGCGCGCTCCCCAGGGGGAGGGGGGATGGGGGTGGGGCACATAATTAGGGAGATTCCTGCACTGCGGTGGGCGGGGAGGGGGGCTGTGCAGCGGCACAGCCCTCGGGACCGCCCTTTCCCCTCCAGAGGCGGCGCTTTCTCCCACACCCCACTCCCAAACCCGTCCGGGCGGGATGGCCCCCGCCCCAGCACCTGGCTCGGCGCCAGCAGCCTGAGGAATGTGGTGGTTGGAGCCGGTGACTAATTCAAACCAGAACTCTGGGAGGAGTGGTGAGGGGCAAAGGGGAGGGGGAGAGGGGCTGTGTGGGAGGTGGTCTGGAGCCCGGCTGGGCGTCGGGGTAGCCGTCGAGCCCTCCACGCTGGTCGTGCGCTCCAGTGGCGTCGTGGGGCGAGGGCCCGCCGTGGGGCGGGAGCGGCAGCGCGCTTGGGGTGTGTTCGAACTGTGTTATGTAAGGATTTCCCAGGCAGGGAGAGGGTGTGCATAGGGCCTGACCCGCCCCAGGCTGGACTGGGCGCCCCCTGTAGTGCCAGGACCGGGGTGTGGGGGCGCAGCCCCTTGGCGGTGCTGGCCTGGAGGGACGCGTGGGCGCGCAGGGCTGGCTGTGTCCCTGGCGTGGGAGGGGAGTGGGGAGGGCAGATGGGGCATCACAAGCTCTCCTAGGCCCCAGCGCCAGCGGGACGACTGGGCGCAGCTGCACTAGGTGGCCACAGAGGTTGTGGGTGCTCGCAACTTTCTAGGGTGTGGCCTGGGTGAAGTGGTGAGGGGCCCCCAGGAAGCCTGCAGCCCTGCGGAGGCTCTGCTTTGTGGAGTGGATTTGTGGAAAAATCAGGGTGGGACCGTGCCCTGGCAGTGGGGTCCTTAGAGAAAGACAGGAGTTTCCAGAGGAAAAGGGACCCATGTCTGGGTCTTTCTGGGTCTCAGCACAGCGCTGGGCTCCCAATAACTTTGAAACTGTTTCTTCTAATAGAATTCCACCTCTTACTGCAGGCATCGCCTGCCTTTCCCTGCACAGCCCAGCGCACTAAGAGCTGGCGTAATTTTGTGGGACACAGTGACACTGTGGGGGGCTATAGTTGATAGGTGAAGGTGAGGAAGCCGGAGGAGGGAGAGACTGATGATGCCTTGGAAGGCATTTTAGAGCTTCCACAGGTCTGCAGGGTTTAAATTTGGGCTGTAGATTCTGCTTCCAGTCCCTCTTCCCAGCCCCTCTGTGAGGGAACCCCTAGGGCAGGGTGTGGCCGCCACTTCCTTTCCAAAGCTGAGTGGGGAAGCTTCCTTCTGGCCCATAGGGATGTTGGGCTGGGCCAGCACTTGGCAGAGTGTGCAGAGTGGGGAGTAAAAGGGAGCCCCAGGTTTTGGGGGTCCTCCGTGCTCTAGGCTGTCGGGTGGGGGAGGGCCAGTGTGGGCTTGGGACCATGAGAGCTGGACCTGCAGAGGCCGCGGGGCCTGGGTGTTGGTGTCTGAGTCCCTTTTTCAAGCCCTGGTCCCTAAGAGGTTAGATGCAGGGTCACTGGTCAGAGAATGAGGACACACAGGGAGTCACAGAGGCCCCATGGGGCTTGGTGCTGCCCTGGAGAAGCCCAGGGTGGTGATTCAGGGCTTCTGGTCTGGGAAACTCTGGAAGAGCTTCCCTCCACCCCCAGAGGGCAGGGCTGGCCCCAGTCAGGTGGTACAGGGGCTGAGGCCAAGTGGAGGACTCTGGGTGGGGGGCCAGTGGAGGCAGAGGCCTGCAGGAGGGAGTGGGGCAAGGCAGGGAGTGGGCTGGGGGACTTGGGTGGAGGTGCTTGGGCACCAGAAGACAGAGTTCTTTTGCTCAACTTGGAGCTGGCTGGCTGGCCCTGGCAGAGCACACCGCCCTGAGCCTGAGGAGCTGGTTTGAGGGGTTGAGGCAAACATGTGGGGGCGGAGGGGTGTGTGGGGCTCTGGGGTGTGGTCACCTACCTTCCTTAGAACTTGGGAACCGCCTGGGGACAGACGGAGAGCAGACCGGGAGAGCTAGTCAGACTCCTGAGGGAATGCTCCCTCCTCTGAGGCATCCCCTCTTCTCCCCCTGCAGCTGGGCTGTCCATATGCGCACTTAGGTTTGAGGAGGGGAGGTGGCCGCTGGGGAGGTTCAGAAGGTATCCTTTCAGCTGGGTGGCAGTGGCAAGTGTCTTTCTTTGTACCCCCGTGGGCTTCATCCAGCCCACCAGACGCTGCCCAGTCCCAGGCCTTCCTGAACAAGCTCAGCTTCTCGAGTCTGGGTGTGCCCGAGGTGGTGAAGGGGGCCAACAGAGCATGGGCCCTTGTGGGTGGCCCCTAGCGGCCTCAGAGGGAATCTTGTATTTGAGTCTTGAGGAAGCCCCTCTCCCTCCAGGGACGCCAGCTGGGCTGCTGGAGCTGTTTGGTTGTGGCCTTGGGTCTGCGCGCGTGTGCGTGCGTGACCACGCACGTGACAGCGCTGAGGGCCGTCATGGCCTATGCTCTGTGGTCCTGGCATTGCGGTGGCCTGCGTGTGTCACCTCGGCCGTGTCTGGAGCATATAGGCCAGGTGGGCCGCAAGGCACTCTGCTCTGGTGGTGGGGTTTCCTGAGGGCTGCAGGGGCTGCCAGAAAGACTGAAGTAAGTCGCTCTGTCCTGGATGGGTTATGGGCCCTGAAGTTTGTGTCCAGAGGCCCAAGGAGGGCGAGGACGCCCTTGGTGCAAGGCCCCAGCCCAGTTGAGTGAGGCCTCGCTGGGCTGCACATGGCCGGCCAGGGAGGGGCATCCTGCCCGGTCCCCGGGGGCCAGAGCGGAGGTTCTAGGGGAAGGGGAAGTGCCTGGAACAGAGCCCGGCTCAGAGTCCTCCCCAGGCTGGGGGGCAGCTCTTGGCAGCCGAGCGCCTGCACTGGCAAGGCCTGGCCGCTGGGCGGAGAGCTGGCGCTCCGAAGCTCTGATCTGGTGGGGGGGCAAGACTGGACATTCTTCACCCTGCTCTCCTCTGCCCCGAGGGCTCTGCCTTCAGAGTTGGGGTGCTAATCTGCTAATCGAAGTGGTCCTTAGCAAAAGTCGGCACTTCCCTGGCTGTGTGGCCAGGTGCGGGGACTTCTCTCCAGTCCCCTGCTACCAGGAACGGGGAGAGTCCCTTCTGGTCAGGGGAGGAAGAGGGAATCTCCCACCCCTCTGGAAGTGAGAACTTGCCGCTCTGGGGCTTGGGGAGCTCCCTGGGGGAGGAGGAGGAAGCTGTGGTGGCCAGCCAGCATGGAGAGGTGGAAAAGGCATCAGATGCAGCCTAGAAAGCTGCTGGCTGGTGCAGGTGGGGGCCGAGGGGCTGCCCTGGAAGTGGAGGTGCAGAAAACTCCAGCGTGAAGGTGGGGGAGAGGGCAGAAAAGGGGCTGCCAGGGAGGAGAGTGTATGGTGATGAGGTTGGAAAAACCTCCTGGTGCAAGTTGGGCCTTCCTGAACAAGCACAGCTGGGCCAGTGGCCTGGGCAGCCGGGGACTGGGCAGGAGCACATAGGCAGAGGGAGGCCCGGGCTCTGGACACCAAGTTAGCAGGTAGGGCGCCCTCCATTGTGGGCAAGGCCCGGGGCTGTGGCCTGCCCCAGTGGTGAAGAGTGGGGAACAGGGCCCCTGCACACATCTTAGGGTCTTTTTCTCTGACTGTCCCTTCGGTGCCCATGTCACCTGTCTTACAGTGTGTTTGTCTCATTCTTTATGATGATTCTACCTTCCACACACATCCCATTCACGCTGGACATGGCTCCTTGGAGTGTCCTGCCCGGAAGCCGCTGAGTGAATATTCTAGACACTTACTGTCACGGCGCCGTTGACTGCAGTTAGGATGGGGCGTGTTTTGCTCGGGTGGAGGTTGGGCAGCTGCACCCCTGGGCCGAATGTGGAGGTACAAATCCCGGAAGGGAGGCTGGCCCGGGGTTTCTTCTTGCTCGCTGAGACATGTGTCTGCCTGTGGGCTGTTGCATTCCCCAGGAGTGGAAATGTTTGCCTGGGACTCGAGTGCCTGTGTCTCGAGTGGCTCTCTAGCCCCAGAAGGACACATTTCTCTTGGCCTTCACCTGCGGGAGCCCCAGCGGGTCTATGGGGGAGCTAGGATTTCTGGCTCCTGGAAACACAGCCTCCTTGAGCCCCCAGAGCCAGAGGCCCCTAAGAGCCTGGGACGCCTGAGACTGCCCATTCTGGACTTGCTGTCCCCAAGCAGGGTTGGGATGAAGCTGGTGTGTGGGCCCACGAGGCGGTGCCCCTTGTCCTGCCTCCTGTGCTCCCGGCACCGTTTCCAAATACACCCCCCCCCCCCCCGTCTCCTTCCTGCTCCTGGGCTCTGGGTCTCTCCCCTGTCTTCCCCCCTCTCCTACCATCTGTGTCCCCCTCACTGGTGGGGCCTGTCTGTCTGCCTGAGGCCTGTCTCTTCGGTGTCTCCCCCGTGCCTCTTCTCTGTGGTTCCTCCTGTCTCTCCTCCTGCTGTCATTTATTTCCCGGTGTCTTCCTCTGTCTTCCTGTCTAAATACCCTTGGCCTTGGCATCAGAGAACCCTGGGCTTGCCTTTGAACTCTCTCATACCCGGGCAAGTCATCTAACCCCGGAGCCTAGTTCTGCGTACCTGAAACAAGGACTTTAACCACAGAGGGCTGTTTGGAGATGGGATGAGACCCTGGGCATGGGCCCTGGCACACAGGCGCTTGGCAAAATTCTTCCTCTCAACTTGTTGGGTTTTTGTTTGTTTTTTAAGGTGGAGCTATTTCCCCTCTTTGCCCCCTAGCGGGTGTTTCTGAAAGTAGATCACCTGTCTGGGTGTGTCTCTTTTTTCTTTGAATATCCCACGCCCTGGTCCTGCTTGTAAGGTTTGGGGCTTTCCCCTCCGGTGGAGGGCTCCGTCTTGGGTGAGTCACTGCCTCCTGCTTAACCTGGGGTCAGGTGGGTCAGGACTGTGTATGTGATGGGTGGGTTTGCCTGTGAGCCTGCTGCTGTGCTGGGTGCCAGTGTCATTGCTCTTGGCCCCCCGTCCTTGTGAATGGGGTACTTCTCTCTCCCTTGGGGTGTCACCTTCTGTGTCCAGCCCGTGCTGGTGTATTTGTGAACTTGTGCCCCGCCAGCTTGTTTCCAGGCAGCGAGTGGGCCGCCTCTCGGTGTGTCAGCTTCTGTGATCTCGACGGTGCCGGCAGCAGGGCTCTCTGATGCTGGCAAATCAGCTGGGCCCCTCCTTGGCTGTCCTCAGACTGGCTCTTGGAAGGAAGGGATGCTATTTCCTGGGAGCTGTGGGAGGATGATGGTCTTCTGAAGCTGAAACCTGGTTGCAACTGTCTGCCCAGGGCGAGGAGTCTGTTCTCCGGGTCTCTCAGCCCCCAACCCTCATGGGTGGCACCAGCCTACTCTACACATCCTCTTTGTGGTTTTGAATTGACAGGACCGCCTCATTCTGCTCTGATGCTTCAGGCTGGAGTGTGCTCTGTCCCTTGTGTCTCAGACTTGCAGCTGGAGTGTCCTCCCTGTCTTACTCCTCTGCCCTCCAAGCAGCTGCTCTGCTTGGTCCCTTCACAAGGGACACTGGGAGCCAGTGTTGGGTGGACCAAATTCCCCTCACCCTACCCCCTAGTAAGTAAAAGGCAATGCTGCCCCGGAGGACTTTCTGTAGCTGTGGCCTGTGGTCTTCCTCCTGTCTCATGTGGTAGTCAGGAGCCAGGTCTGGCCGTTGAGTTCTTGAAATGACCCGTGCAGCCAACTAGCATTTTAATTAAATTCAAGTTAAATTTAAATAGCCACATGCGGCGACCATGTTGATGGCATGATTTTAAGGTTTCTTCTCACTCCAAAGGCTTATGACATTCTGCTGAGGGAGCAGAATTCCCCCAAGCTCCAAAGAGCCCCCTCTGGGTAGCATCAAGGCGGGGTCCCAGTCCCCGGGAACCCTGGCTTCACCCCACTTATGTGGAGGGAGACGGACCGTCTGGGCCTGGTACAGGGCAGAGGGGAGCCTCAGGCTGGGACCCAAATGCAGAAAACTGACCCTCGACACCATGGCCTTGACCCTCCCATCAGCATCCCTGTGCCCAGCCATCTCAGTGACCCATATCAGATAAGGGGGAGGAGAGTCCTTCCCAGCTGTGCCAGGAGGTGAGGCGGGGGCCACAGCAGACAGGGTGCTTGGAGCCCTGCTTGGCTGGGAAGCCAGAGGGTGCCCTGCAGGGACGACATGCTGCCTCCTGTGGAGAGGGTCCTATGGACCTTCTCATCTCGGACTGGCCTTCTCCACCCCTCACTTGCCCCTGCTTTGGGGCGTGGAGTAAGTCCCTCCCCAGCCAGCCAAGTCGTGCTTCTGGGGACTCTTGGCCTGGGGCTCCGTCTCATGAAGCTGGCAGGGAAGCCTGTCTCCACGGAGCCCCGGCCCCTCTGGCACCCAGGGGTCTGGCCCTTGAAGCACTTTGTCAGTCGGGTTTAGGTGTGACCCTTTGCATGTCTGGAGCTGCTGCAGCCACGGTGACTCATCAGGGAAGGAGGGAGGGTGGGGCTGTGGTGTGGGCGAGGGTGAGATGGCTGGCTCTCTCCTCTCGCCTGCTGCTGGCGCAGCACCAGATGCTGGGCTGAGCAGAGGGGCCCTGCTCAAGGAGGAAGAGGGGGTGCCCTGTGGCGAGTGGCTGGTGGCTGGCATCCTGTCCCTGCCCTGCCTGGCTCCACGTCTACAGGGCTGGCTCTTGGGCTGGATGTTGAAGATCCTGCTTTGCTGTTTCACGTTGGGAAAGGTCAGGGTGACTTGTGACTTCCCATCACGGTCCCCTCTGCCTGTGGGGAAGGGAGGAGGTGCTTTCCCAGCACTCACCTGGGCCAGGGTGCTCGCCTCCAGCTGCCAGCCTCCCGGTAGTACCTGTGCCGTGAGGTTTCACAGAGGGCGCAGGTGTGAGTTTATCATCTGGGAGCACAGGTGTGTGTGTGGGCCTAGGGTCTGGCTGACTTTGCAACTGCTAAGTGCTCATGAATTTCCAGGAGACATGGCCCCATCCTCACAACCCCCTTAGCACTTTCAAGACCCCATTTATATTTCATTGCCCCTGAAGACTCCCAGGCCTTCTGGAACACTTTGAGGTGAAATTGGTCATGTCCAGGGCAGCTGGCCTATAATTTACGTTTAGGACAAGAGCTTTTGAAGCGCCTTACCTGGCACGTGGAGGGTCTTCTGTGTCGTTCAGGGAATGTCCGAGTGAAGTTGGGTAACAGTTGGGGGACTGTGTGACCCAGCAGCATGCCCCCCTGTGGGGGACAGCCAGGAGGCGCCTGTTTATCCACTGGTTGACTAACTCCTGCATAACGGCAGCGTGGGGCTTCGGGTGAGGTCCTCCATGACGTAGCGCGTCCCCCCACGGTTCCGCAGCTGTGCTTCTGGGTGAGCCGTGCTGCCATTTTGTGTGAGTGGCTGCCGGCCATGTCTGTGTTGAGTCCTGCCTGGTGTCTTCTTCCGCGGCTGACGGCTCTTCCTGCGGCCGGGGACATCTTTGCTTCGGGGTGCCTGCACCTATGGGGGCCTGGCCCAGGCCCAGCGAGGCAGCAGATGGGCCCTGAAGCACCCTGTCTGCCCCAGGCAGCTCAGCTGTGGGCCGCCTGTGGGGTTGGGCCACTGCCTGGGGGAGGGGGCCTCAGTGTCCTTTGTTCACCTGCTCCCTGTGGCCGAGCACCCAGAGCTGTGAGGAGCACCTCGCTGTGATGGTCCCCTGGCCCTGAGGACCGGGCTAGGCAGGGTGACCATGAGTCACTGTCTCTGGGGAAGGGAGGGCACCCCGCTTTCAGGCTGCCACTTGCCTGCACTGCTGGCGACACTCTGAGGAGTGTCTGTCCTGTCCCAGGAGGGGCCCTGACACTGGTTAAAGCTGCAGCCTGAGCTGGCACAGGAGCGTGGCAGATGCAGGGCTGTAACATCAGCACGGCGCTACCCAAGCTCGTTGATCTCTGGTTGTGGGGGGCAAATTGGCCTCTCTGAATCTGTCTCCCCATTTGTAAAGTGGGGGACAGTAATGTTTCCCTCCAGAAACAAAGAAGCCGATGGGAATGCAGGTGCTGTGGCGCTCCGGTGCGCCGGGGCCTCTTGGGCGTGCTCTGTGTCCTCCAGTTCTTGCAGGAGTCTTTAGTCCCCACCACGGTCACAGATAGGGCAATGGAGGCTCAGAGAGGTTAAGTGACCCGGCCAGTGTCACACCGCTGGACGCATCAGGCAGAAGTTGAACCTGAGCGTGTCCTACCCTAACCCCCTTCCCACCATGCTTGACTGGGGAGTCACATTGCAATGGGATTGAGACAGCAGTGGGGGCTGGGGTTTTGGTCTGGCATGGGGGGGGCAGAACATCCAGCATCCCTTGCATGGCAGCTGGTTGGGGTTTCCAGCCAGTGGTTGTGGACTTGAAGCGAGATGGCTGTGAACTTCTCCCCAGGCTGTGTGACTGAGACTGACGAGAAGGACTGAGAAGAGAGGAAGACGGGGCGGGCTCCTGGCAAGGCTTTAGCTCGACCCACACCTGCAAAAGGTCAGTAGTGGGCAGGGAGGTGAGAGGGCAGAGGTGTTGGGAGGAGGGAAGATGGAGACCCTGGTGGCCTCAGTGGGGGCAGGACTTGGGTGGAAGTGCCGAGGGGCTGGTCACCTCTTCCGGGGGAACAACGCTCCACTCCTGGGGAGCTGATTGCCCCTGCGGGGCCTCGCTTTCTCCTCCCCTCTGACCACTCACCCCCACTGTCCTGAGCTCCATTTTCTTCCCTCTTCCCAGATGGAGAAGGAGGAAGAGAAGACCCGGGAGCTGCTGCTGCCCAACTGGCAGGGCAGTGGTTCTCACGGGCTGACCATTACTCAGACGGACGATGGCGTCTTTGTGCAGGAGGTGATGCGGAACTCCCCTGCGGCCCGCACGGGGGTGGTCAAGGAGGGTGAGTTGCCTCAGGACTCAGGCTGGGTGCTGGGCAGTGTGAGTGAGGGTGGCAAAGGTGGGCAAGTGGCTGTGGAGGCCCTGGGCCCAGCAGCATCAGGCTGGTTGCTGCCCAAGCCCTGCCCTGCCCACTCTACATCCCTCATTTGCTTGAGGTTCTGGGGGGAGGTGGTGGGGGTGGGAGGGTGGAGACATGGTCCGAAGTCCTGGCTCCAGCACTCACGGGGTCACTGCTTGGGCAGGTCAGTTGTTCTCTCTAAGCCTCAGTTTCCTCATCTGTACAGCGGGTCTGAGCAAGGTGGTCAAAACATGCATTCAGTGTGAGCCAGAGCGCCCGAGGCATGTGGTTTCCCTGTGACCCTGGGGGCTCACTGCTTCTTGCCTCTCCTTGCTCAGGGGACCAGATTGTGGGGGCCACCATCTACTTTGACAACCTGCAGTCAGATGAGGTGACACAGCTGCTGAACACCATGGGGCACCACACTGTGGGCCTGAAGCTGCACCGCAAGGGGGACCGCTCCCCTGAACCTGGCCAGACTTGGACCCATGAAGTCGTCAGCTCCCACAGCTCGGAAGTGGTTCTGGTGAGTGCCCCTCCCCACGCCCGTCAGCTTGGGCTCCCCTGCCACACCTCCTCCTGGTCCCACCTTCTGAGCCTCCTGTCCATCTCCCGGACTCTTGCTGTCCTTCCTTCTGCTGACCACACCTCTCTGCCTCTCTGTTGAGCCAGCCCACTCATTCCCACTCTCCTGTGGCACGTGGCTGATGGCTGCCCTCAGGGTCTTCGTCAGTCTCTCCAGAGGGCCACCGCATGGGAGCTGGCTCGTGCTGTCTGGTCCTGGCTGCCAGGAGGAAGGTCAGCTGCTTTGCCGGAATTTGGAATGATTTCCCAGGTGCCTGGCTCTGCTCACAGACACCATTTTTCTGCTTCCAGAGGCCTGGTCATTCTGTGAGTCAGAGGCAGGCGGCTCGCCGGCTGGAGGGCGCCGTCTGCTCCTTGTGATGGCTTGTTTATTTAACAAATATGGGTCCTCAGAGTGAAAGTGCCAGCCCACACACAACCAGTTTCAGGAAAGCTTCCCTCAGGCCTCTGGGGAACCTTCTGGATCCAACACACCAGTCATTGAGTTGAGAGCTAAGAGCTGAAGGGTCGAATCAGCATGGAGATGGTCAGAGGTGGTGATGGTCAGAGGTGGTTGTTGGCTGCCCCGGAGGCTCCCTGGGGCCTGACAGGTCGGTTTTGAATCTAGAATTGATTGAGAATCCTTGTCCCAGAGCGGGCTGCTCAGGAGTCTATCCCTCCTCTCCCCAGAGGAGTTTTTTTACATCCTGTAGTTTCCCTACATAATTTCTGTTTCCCTCCATGATGTGGACCCTTTCTTCATTCCCTGCGCCCCCTGCTCCGCCTGGGCCTCCCGTGGACCTCAGTGGTGGCCCCAGCCTCTTGGGAGACAGGCGACCGCGTGGTCGGCTGGGCTGGGGCCGGGCGCCTGTACCTTGGGCGGGCTCTGCTGCAACCTGGCGGCGTGTCTTTCTGCAGAGCGGGGATGACGAGGACTACCAGCGCATCTACACCACCAAGATTAAACCTCGGCTGAGGTCGGAGGACGGCGTGGAAGGGGATCTTGGGGAGACCCAGAGCCGCACCATCACGGTGACTAGACGGGTCACGGCCTACACTGTGGACGTGACGGGCCGGGAAGGAGCCAAGGACATCGACATCAGCAGCCCTGAGTTCAAGATCAAGATTCCACGGCACGAACTGACCGAAATCTCCACTGTGGACGTGGAGACCCAGCCTGGGAAGACGGTGATCAGGCTGCCCTCAGGCTCGGGCCCGGCGTCTCCAACCACGGGCTCTGTGGACATCCGAGCAGGCTCCATTTCTGCTTCTGGACCAGAGCTTCCAGGCGCTGGCCACTCGAAGCTCCAGGTCACCGTTCCTGGGATTAAGGTGGGAAGTCCAGGCATCAGTGTCAATGCCAAGGGCATGGACTTGGGTGGCAAAGGAGGGACCCACGTTCCAGGAGTGGACCTTTTGTCTTCTCTTGGGGGTGGTGTGGTAGAGGGGCAGGGGTTGTGTCTCGAGAGCGGCAATAATGGGAAAATCAAAATTCCTGCCATGCAGGTGCCAAAATTTGGCATCTCAGCAGGGCCAGAGAGCCAGGTTCCAGAGTCAGGGCTGAGTGTGTCTGCCCCTGAATTCTCTGTGGGGCACAAGGGCAGCAAGCCAGGCTTAAGCATTGGCGGGAACATCCAGACCCCTCAGCTAGAATTCACTGCTCCCTCTGCCAATGTTGAGGGGAAGCTGAAGGGCCCCTCGATCACTGGGCCGTCGCTTGAGGGTGAGCTAGGCTTGAAGGGTGCCAAGCCACAGGGGAGCCTGGGAGTTGACCTCTCTGCTCCCAAAATTGAGGGCAACGTCACCAGCCCTAGTGTGGAAGTTCAAGGCCCTGATGTTGATATTCAGGGGCCTGGAGGCAAACTGAATATGCCCAAGTTGAAAGTGCCCAAATTCTCTGCATCAGGTTCTAAGGGAGCTGGCATGGATGTGACACTGCCCACAGGTGAAGTTACTGTCCCTGGGGTATCTGGGGATGTTAGCCTGCCTGAAGTTGCTATTGGGGGGCTAGAAGGGAAGATGAAGGGTACTAAAGTCAAAGGTCCTGAAATGATTGTTCAGAAACCTAAAATCTCCATGCAGGACGTGGATCTGAGCCTTGGGTCCCCGAAACGGAAAGGAGATATTAAGGTTTCTGCTCCTGGGGTGCAAGGTGATGTGAAAGGCCCTCAGGTGGCAGTTAAAGGCTCCAAAGTGGACATCGAGACACCCAGCCTAGAGGGGACTCTGACAGGCGCCAAGCTTAGCGGTCCTTCCGGGAAAGCAGGAACCTGCAGGATCTCCATGGCAGACGTAGACTTGAATGTGGCTGCACCTAAGATGAAAGGGGGTGTAGATGTCACACTCCCAAAAGTAGAAGGGAAAGTCAAAGGCCCTGAAGTTGACATCAAAGGTCCCAATGTGGATGTCAGTGTTCCCGATGTGGACGTCCATGGCCCAGACTGGCACCTGAAGATGCCCAAGATGAAAATGCCCAAGTTCAGCATGCCAGGAGTCAAAGGGGAAGGCCCAGATGCAGATGTCAATCTACCCAAAGGAGATGTCAGTATCTCAGGACCCAAGATCAATGTGGAAGCCCCCAGTGTCAGCATAGAGGGGCCAGGAGGCCAGCTGAAAGGCCCTGATGTTAAGCTGCCCGAAGTGAGTGTCAAGACACCGAAGATTTCCCTCCCCGACGTGGATCTGCATGTTAAAGGAACAAAGGTGAAGGGAGAGTATGATGTGACGGTGCCAAAACTTGAAGGTGAAATGAAAGGCCCCAAAGTGGACATCAGCGCCCCAGATGTGGACGTCCATGGCCCAGACTGGCACCTGAAGATGCCCAAGATGAAGATGCCCAAGTTCAGTGTGCCTGGAGTCAAAGCAGAAGGCCCAGAAGTGGACATGAGCTTGCCCAAAGCTGAGGTGGACATCACTGGGCCCAAGGTAGACATTAGCACTCCAGATGTGACCATGGAGGCACCGGAAGGGAAATTGAAAGGGCCCAAGTTTAAGATGCCTGAGATGAACATTAAAGCCCCGAAGATCTCCATGCCTGATGTGGACTTGCACTTGAAGGGCCCTAAAGTAAAAGGAGAATATGATGTCACAGGGCCAAAGGTCGAAGGTGAGATTAAAGTTCCTGATGTTGAGCTTAAAAGTGCCAAAGTGGACATTGATGCTCCAGATGTTGAAGTTCATGGCCCAGACTGGCACCTGAAAATGCCCAAGATGAAGATGCCCAAGTTCGGCATGCCCGGTTTCAAGGCAGAGGGTCCGGAAGTGGACGTGAGCCTGCCGAAGGCTGACATTGACATCTCAGGCCCCAAGGTGGATGTTGATGCTCCAGATGTGAATATTGAAGGCCCTGAAGGAAAGCTGAAGAGTCCTAAGTTTAAGGTGCCTGAGGTGAATATCAAGGCCCCAAAGATTTCCATGCCTGATGTGAACTTACATATGAAAGGCCCCCCGGTAAAGGGAGAATACGATGTCACAGTGCCAAAGCTGGAAGGGGACTTGAAAGGGCCAAAAGTAGATATCAGTGCTCCAGATGTTGAAGTTCATGGTCCTGATTGGAACTTAAAGATGCCAAAGATGAAAATGCCCAAATTCACTATGCCCAGCCTTAAAGGAGAAGGCCCAGAATTAGACGTGACCCTGCCAAAGGCTGAGGTGGACACTTCTGCACCCAAGCTGGATATCAGTGCCCCAGATGTAAGCCTTGAAGGACCAGAAGGGAAGTTGAAAAGCCCCAAGTTTAAGATGCCTGAGATGCATTTTAAAGCTCCTAAGATGTCTCTGCCAGATGTTGACCTGGATCTTAAAGGACCCAAAGTGAAAGGAACTCTAGATGTGTCTGCACCAAAAATAGAAGCTGAGATGAAAATTCCAGATGTGGACATCAAAGGTCCCAAGGTAGACATTAAAACCCCAGATGTGGATGTCCATGGCCCAGACTGGAACCTGAAGATGCCCAAGATGAAGATGCCCAAGTTTGGCATGCCCAGCTTCAAAGCAGAGGGCCCGGAAGTGGATGTGAACCTGCCCAAGGCTAACATTGACATCTCTGGACCGAAGGTGGACATCGAAGCTCCAGATGTGAGCCTTGAGGGTCCAGATGGCAAGCTGAAAAGCCCCAAGTTTAAGATGCCAGAGATGCACTTCAAGACCCCCAAGATCTCCATGCCTGATGTGGACTTGCACTTGAAAGGCCCCAAAGTCAAAGGGGACGTGGACGTGAATGTGTCTGTGCCCAAGACAGAAGGTGAAATGAAAGTGCCAGATGTGGACATCAAAGGACCCAAAGTGGACATCAGTGCCCCAGATGTGGACGTTCAAGGTCCGGACTGGCACCTGAAGATGCCCAAGATGAAAATGCCCAAATTCAGTGTGCCTGGAGTCAAAGCAGAGGGTCCGGAAGTGGACTTGAGTCTGCCCAAGGCTGATATTGACATTTCTGGACCAAAAGTTGATGTTGAAGCTCCAGAGGTGAGCCTTGAGGGTCCAGATGGCAAGCTGAAGGGCCCCAAGTTCAAGATGCCAGAGATGCACTTCAAGGCACCCAAGATCTCCATGCCTGATGTGGACTTGCACTTGAAAGGCCCCAAAGTCAAAGGGGACGTGGACGTGAATGTGTCTGTGCCCAAGATAGAAGGTGAAATGAAAGTGCCAGATGTGGACATCAAAGGACCCAAAGTGGACATCAGTGCCCCAGATGTGGACGTTCAAGGTCCGGACTGGCACCTGAAGATGCCCAAGATGAAAATGCCCAAATTCAGTGTGCCTGGAGTCAAAGCAGAGGGTCCGGAAGTGGACTTGAGTCTGCCCAAGGCTGATATTGACATTTCTGGACCAAAAGTTGATGTTGAAGCTCCAGAGGTGAGCCTTGAGGGTCCAGATGGCAAGCTGAAGGGCCCCAAGTTCAAGATGCCAGAGATGCACTTCAAGACCCCCAAGATCTCCATGCCTGATGTGGACTTGCACTTGAAAGGCCCCAAAGTCAAAGGGGACGTGGACGTGAATGTGTCTGTGCCCAAGATAGAAGGTGAAATGAAAGTGCCAGATGTGGACATCAAAGGACCCAAAGTGGACATCAGTGCCCCAGATGTGGATGTCCAAGGTCCAGACTGGCACCTGAAGATGCCCAAGATGAAAATGCCCAAGTTCAGTGTGCCTGGAGTTAAAGCAGAGGGCCCAGAAGTGGATGTGAGTCTGCCCAAGGCTGATATTGACATCTCTGGACCTAAGGTGGACATTGAAGGACCTGATGTGAGCCTTGAGGGTCCAGAAGGAAAACTGAAGGGCCCTAAGTTTAAGATGCCTGAGATGCACTTCAAGGCCCCCAAAATCTCCATGCCTGACGTAAACCTGAATCTTAAGGGGCCAAAACTGAAGGGAGATGTGGATGTGTCTTTGCCTGATGTAGAAGGTGAAATGAAAGTGCCCGATGTTGATGTTAAAGGCCCCAAAGTCGATGTCAGTGTCCCAGAGGTGGATGTCCATGGCCCAGACTGGCATCTGAAGATGCCCAAGATGAAGATGCCCAAGTTCGGCATGCCCGGCTTCAAAGCGGAGGGTCCAGAAGTGGACGTGAACCTGCCCAAGGCTGACCTGGGCATCTCAGGTCCTAAGGTGGACATTGAAGTTCCAGATGTGAATATTGAAGGTCCTGATGCAAAACTAAAAAGCCCGAAGTTTAAGATACCAGAAATGAACATAAAATCTCAGAAGATATCCATGCCAGATGTTAGTTTGAATTTAAAAGGTTCCAAAATTAAAGGGGATTATGATGTTACAGTTCCAAAAGTTGAAGGAGAGATAAAAGCTCCTGATGTCAGCATTAAAGGCCCCAAAGTGGACATTAATGCACCAGATGTGGGAGTTCATGGCCCAGACTGGCACCTGAAGATGCCCAAAGTGAAAATGCCCAAGTTCAGCATGCCTGGCTTCAAAGGAGAGGGCCCGGATGTGGATGTGAACCTGCCTAAGGCTGACATGGATGTCTCAGGCCCCAAGGTGGACACTGAAGTTCCAGATGTGAACATTGAAGGGCCAGAGGGAAAACTGAAGGGCCCCAAGTTCAAGATGCCAAACGTGAATATACAGACACACAAAATTTCTATGCCTGATGTTGGACTTAATCTGAAAACCCCTAAACTGAAAACTGATGTAAGTGTTTCCCTTCCTAAAGTGGAAGGTGATTTGAAAGGTCCTGAAATTGATATGAAAGCCCCTAAGATGGATATGGATGTTGGTGATATTGATATTGAATGCCCAGAAGGAAAGTTGAAAGGCCCCAAGTTCAAGATGCCTGAGATGCACTTCAAGACCCCCAAGCTCTCCATGCCTGATGTGGACTTGCACTTAAAAGGCCCCAAAGTCAAAGGGGACGTGGACGTGGATGTGTCTGTGCCCAAGATAGAAGGTGAAATGAAAGTGCCGGATGTGGACATCAAAGGACCCAAAGTGGACATCAGTGCCCCAGATGTGGACGTCCATGGGCCAGATTGGCACCTGAAGATGCCCAAGATGAAGATGCCCAAGTTCAACATGCCTGGCTTCAAAGCAGAAGGCCCGGAGGTTGATGTGAGCCTGCCCAAAGCTGATCTGGATGTTTCTGGCCCCAAAGTGGACATTGATGTTCCTGATGTGGATATTGAAAGTCCGGAAGGAAAATTAAAAGGCTCTAAATTCAAGATGCCTAAGTTAAATATCAAATCTCACAAGATATCCATGCCTGATGTGGACTTGAATTTGAAGGGACCCAAACTGAAAGGAGAGATAGATGTTTCTGTGCCAGAACTAGAAGGTGATCTCAAAGGCCCGCAGGTTGATATCAAAGGTCCCAGCGTGGACGTGGAGATGCCTGATGTGAATCTTGAATGTCCTGATGCAAAGTTGAAAGGCCCCAAGTTCAAGATGCCAGACATGCACTTCAAGACTCCCAAGATCTCCATGCCTGATGTGGACTTGCACTTGAAAGGCCCCAAAGTCAAAGGGGATGTGGACGTGAATGTGTCTGTGCCCAAGATAGAAGGTGAAATGAAAGTGCCAGATGTGGACATCAAAGGACCCAAAGTGGACATCAGTGCCCCAGATGTGGACGTTCAAGGTCCGGACTGGCACCTGAAGATGCCCAAGATGAAGATGCCCAAGTTCAGCATGCCTGGCTTCAAAGCAGAGGGGCCAGAAGTGGACGTGAACCTGCCCAAGGCTGACCTTGACATCTCTGGACCCAAGGTGGACATTGAAGCTCCAGATGTGAATCTTGAATGTCCAGATGCAAAACTGAAGGGGCATAAGTTTAAGATGCCAGACATGCACTTCAAGGCACCCAAGATCTCCATGCCTGATGTGGACTTGCACTTGAAAGGCCCCAAAGTCAAGGGGGATGTGGATGTGTCTGTGCCAAAACTGGAGGGAGATTTGAAGGGTCCCAGCGTGGATGTGGAGATGCCTGATGTCAATTTGGAATGTCCCGAAGCAAAGTTGAAAGGCCCGAAGTTCAAGATGCCTGAGATGCACTTCAAGACCCCCAAGATCTCCATGCCTGATGTGGACTTGCACATGAAAGGCCCCAAAGTCAAGGGGGACGTGGACGTGAATGTATCTGTGCCCAAGATAGAAGGTGAAATGAAAGTGCCAGATGTGGACATCAAAGGACCCAAAGTGGACATCAATGCCCCAGATGTGGACGTCCATGGGCCAGACTGGCACCTGAAGATGCCCAAGATGAAGATGCCCAAGTTCAGCATGCCTGGCTTCAAAGCAGAGGGGCCAGAAGTGGACGTGAACCTGCCCAAGGCTGACCTTGACATCTCTGGACCCAAGGTGGACATTGAAGCTCCAGATGTGAATCTTGAATGTCCAGATGCAAAACTGAAGGGGCATAAATTTAAGATGCCAGACATGCACTTCAAGGCACCCAAGATCTCCATGCCTGATGTGGACTTGCACTTGAAAGGCCCCAAAGTCAAGGGGGATGTGGATGTGTCTGTGCCAAAACTGGAGGGAGATTTGAAGGGTCCCAGTGTGGATGTGGAGATGCCTGATGTTGATCTGGAATGTCCTGATGCAAAGTTGAAAGGCCCGAAGTTCAAGATGCCTGAGATGCACTTCAAGACCCCCAAGATCTCCATGCCTGATGTGGACTTGCACATGAAAGGCCCCAAAGTCAAGGGGGACGTGGACGTGAATGTGTCTGTGCCCAAGATAGAAGGTGAAATGAAAGTGCCAGATGTGGACATCAAAGGACCCAAAGTGGACATCAATGCCCCAGATGTGGATGTCCATGGGCCAGACTGGCACCTGAAGATGCCCAAGATGAAGATGCCCAAGTTCAGCATGCCTGGCTTCAAAGCAGAGGGGCCAGAAGTGGACGTGAACCTGCCCAAGGCTGACCTTGACATCTCTGGACCCAAGGTGGACATTGAAGCCCCTGATGTGAACATTGAGGGTCCAGAAGGAAAACTGAAAGGCCCGAAATTCAAGATGCCTGAGATGCACTTTCATGCCCCCAAGATCTCCATGCCTGATGTTGATTTCAACTTAAAGGGGCCTAAAATTAAAGGTGACCTAGATGTTTCTGCCCCAAAGCTGGAGGGAGAGTTAAAGGGTCCAGAACTTGATATTAAGGGCCCCAAATTGGATGTGGACATGCCAGATGTAGCTGTGGAAGGCCCAGATGGCAAATGGAAAAGTCCGAAGTTTAAGATGCCAGACATGCACTTTAAAACGCCCAAAATCTCCATGCCAGACATTGATCTACACTTAAAAAGCCCCAAGATAAAGGGAGAGATGGATGTAGATATTCCTAAACTGGAAGGTGATCTCAAAGGGCCAGATATCGATGTTGAAGGGCCAGAGGGCAAATTGAAAGGCCCCAAGTTCAAGATGCCTGAAATGCATCTCAAAGCACCAAATATTTCTATGCCTGATGTGGACCTAAATCTGAAAGGACCCAAAATCAAGGGGGATGTAGATGTCTCTGTGCCAGAGGTAGAAGGAAAAATTAAAGTACCAGATGTAAACATCAAGGGACCTAAAGTAGACATAAATGCTCCTGAAGTCCATGGCCCAGACTGGCACCTGAAGATGCCCAAGATGAAAATGCCCAAGTTTGGCATGCCTGGCTTCAAGGCAGAGGGTCCAGAAGTGGACGTGAGCCTGCCCAAGGCTGACATTGACATCTCAGGCCCCAAGGTGGACATTGATGTTCCAGATGTGAATATTGAAGGTCCTGATGCAAAACTGAAGGGGCCCAAGTTCAAGATGCCCGAGGTGAACATCAAAGCTCCCAAGATCTCCATGCCTGACATTGATTTGAACCTGAAAGGTCCCAAGGTGAAGGGTGATGTGGATGTTTCCCTGCCAAAGGTGGAAGGTGACCTCAAGGGCCCTGAAATTGACATCAAGGGCCCCAAAGTGGACATTGACACCCCAGATGTGGGCATCCATGGCCCAGACTGGCACCTGAAGATGCCCAAAGTGAAAATGCCCAAGTTTGGCATGCCTGGCTTCAAGGCAGAGGGCCCGGAAGTGGACGTGAACCTGCCCAAGGCTGACATTGACATCTCAGGCCCCAAAGTGGACATTGATGTTCCAGATGTGAATATTGAAGGTCCTGATGCAAAACTGAAGGGGCCCAAGTTCAAGATGCCCGAGATGAACATCAAAGCTCCTAAGATCTCCATGCCTGACATTGATTTGCACTTGAAAGGTCCCAAGGTGAAGGGTGATGTGGATGTTTCCCTGCCAAAGGTGGAAGGTGACCTCAAGGGCCCTGAAATTGACATCAAGGGCCCCAAAGTGGACATTGACACCCCAGATGTGGATGTTCATGGTCCAGACTGGCACCTGAAGATGCCCAAGATAAAAATGCCCAAATTCGGCATGCCTGGCTTTAAGGCAGAGGGCCCGGAAGTGGATGTGAGCTTGCCCAAGGCTGACATTGACATCTCAGGTCCCAAAGTGGACATTGATGTTCCAGATGTGAATATTGAAGGTCCTGATGCAAAACTGAAGGGCCCCAAGTTCAAGATGCCTGAGATGAACATCAAAGCCCCCAAGATCTCCATGCCTGACATTGATATTAATCTGAAGGGCCCCAAGGTGAAGGGTGATGTGGATTTATCTTTGCCAAAAGTGGAAGGTGAGATTAAAGTTCCTGAAGTGGATATTAAAGGCCCCAAAGTGGACATTGACACCCCAGATGTGGATGTCCATGGCCCAGACTGGCACCTGAAGATGCCCAAGATGAAAATGCCCAAGTTCGGCATGCCTGGCTTCAAAGCAGAGGGCCCAGAAGTGGACGTGAACCTGCCCAAGGCTGACATTGATATCTCAGGCCCCAAGGTGGACATTGAAGGTCCAGATGTCAACATTGAAGGTCCAGATGCAAAACTAAAAGGTCCCAAGTTCAAGATGCCAGAAATGAACATCAAAGCCCCCAAGATATCTATGCCAGATTTGGACCTTAATCTTAAAGGTCCCAAAATGAAAGGTGAGGTGGATGTGTCACTTCTAAGTGTCGAAGGTGATTTGAAAGGGCCGACTCTTGATGTCAAGGGTCCAAAGATAGATATTGATGTACCAGATGTTGACATTCATGGCCCAGAAGGTAAATTGAAAGGTCCAAAGCTGAAGATGCCTGACATGCATATGAACATGCCCAAGATCTCTATGCCAGAAATTGACCTAAATTTAAAAGGCTCGAAGCCCAAGGGAGATATTGATGTTTCTGGGCCCAAATTGGAAGGTGACATTAAAGCTCCCAAGTTGGATATAAAGGGCCCTGAATTGGACATTTCTGCTCCCAAGGTCAACATTGAAGGAAAGTCGAAGAAGTCTCGTTTTAAGCTTCCCAAATTTAATTTTTCAGGCTCCAAAGTTCAGACACCTGAGGTTGATGTCAAAGTTAAAAAGCCAGATATTGATGTAACAGGTCCAAAGGTTGATATTAATGCTCCTGATGTTGAGGTCCAAGGAAAAGTGAAAGGATCCAAGTTCAAAATGCCTTTCCTGAGTATTTCATCCCCTAAAGTTTCTATGCCTGATGTGGAGTTAAATCTGAAAGGACCTAAGGTCAAAGGCGACTTGGATGTTGTAGGGCCTAATTTAGAAGGAGAATTGAAAGGGCCCAAACTGGATGTAAAGGCACCTGACGTTCACCTGGATGCACCTGATGTGGATGTTCATGGTCCAGAATGGAACGTGAAAATGCCTAAGATGAAAATGCCCAAGTTCGGAGTCCCCAGCTTAAAAGCAGAAGCCCCAGACATGACTGTGGAGCTCCCAAAAGGAGATATCAACATAGAGGGTCCCGGTTTGGACATTGAAGGCCCAGAAATCAATGTGGAAGGCTTAGAAGGAGGCTTAAAAGGCCCCAAACTCAAGATGCCTGATATCAATATCAAAGCTCCCAAGATCTCTATGCCTGATATTGATTTAAACTTGAAGGGCCCCAAGGTGAAAGGTGAGGTGGATGTTTCTCTGCCCAAAGTAGAAGGGAACCTGAAAGGGCCAGAGGTTGATATCAAAGGCCCCAAAGTGGACCTTGATGCCCCAGATGTGGATGTTCAAGGACCAGACTGGCACCTGAAGATGCCCAAGATGAAAATGCCTAAGTTTGGCATGCCCGGCTTCAAAGGAGAGGGCCCGGAAGTGGATGTTACACTCCCTAAAGCTGACATTGATATTTCAGGGCCAAAAGTGGACATTACTGCTCCAGATGTGAATATTGAAGGTCCAGATGCAAAATTGAAGGGCCCCAAATTCAAGATGCCTGAGATGAACATCAAAGCCCCCAAAATCTCTATGCCTGATCTTGACCTGAACCTGAAGGGTCCCAAAATGAAGGGTGATGTGGACATGTCTTTCCCCAAAGTGGAAGGTGACCTAAAAGGTCCAGAATTGGACATCAAGGGCCCCAAAGTAGACATTGACACTCCTGATATTAACATTGAAGGTCCAGAGGGCAAACTGAAGGGACCCAAATTCAAGATGCCAGAGATGCACATAAAGGCTCCCAAGATCTCCATGCCTGACCTTGACTTAAACTTGAAGGGCCCTAAGATGAAGGGTGATGTGGATGTTTCCCTGCCAAAAATTGAAGGGGATCTAAAAGGTCCTGAGATTGATATCAAAGGGCCCAAAGTGGATATTGATGCCCCAGATGTGGACGTGCATGGCCCAGACTGGCACCTGAAGATGCCCAAGATAAAAATGCCCAAGTTCGGCATGCCTGGCTTCAAAGGAGAGGGTCCGGATGTGGATGTGAACCTGCCCAAGGCTGACATTGACATCTCAGGCCCCAAAATGGACATTGATGTTCCAGATGTGAATATTGAAGGTCCTGATGCAAAACTGAAGGGGCCCAAGTTCAAGATGCCTGAGATGAACATCAAAGCCCCCAAGATCTCCATGCCTGACATTGATTTGCACCTGAAAGGTCCCAAGGTGAAGGGTGATGTGGATGTTTCCCTGCCAAAGGTGGAAGGTGACCTCAAGGGCCCTGAAATTGACATCAAGGGCCCCAAAGTGGATATTGATGCTCCAGATGTGGACATCCATGGCCCGGACTGGCACCTGAAGATGCCCAAGATAAAAATGCCCAAGTTCGGCATGCCTGGCTTCAAAGGAGAGGGTCCGGATGTGGATGTGAACCTGCCCAAGGCTGACATTGACATCTCAGGTCCCAAAGTGGACATTGATGTTCCAGATGTGAATATTGAAGGTCCTGATGCAAAACTGAAGGGGCCCAAGTTCAAGATGCCTGAGATGAACATCAAAGCCCCCAAGATCTCCATGCCTGACATTGATTTGCACCTGAAAGGTCCCAAGGTGAAGGGTGATGTGGATGTTTCCCTGCCAAAGGTGGAAGGTGACCTCAAGGGCCCTGAAATTGACATCAAGGGCCCCAAAGTGGACATTAATGTCCCGGATGTAGACGTCCATGGCCCAGACTGGCACCTAAAGATGCCCAAGATGAAAATGCCCAAGTTTGGCATGCCCGGCTTCAAGGCAGAGGGCCCGGAAGTGGATGTGAACCTGCCCAAGGCTGACATTGACATCTCTGGACCCAAGGTGGACATTGATGTTCCAGATGTGAATATTGAAGGTCCAGATGCAAAACTGAAGGGCCCCAAGTTTAAAATGCCTGACCTGCACCTCAAGGCCCCCAAGATTTCCATGCCTGAAGTTGACCTGAATCTGAAGGGCCCGAAGGTGAAGGGTGATGTGGACCTTTCTCTGCCCAAAGTGGAAGGTGACCTCAAGGGCCCTGAAGTTGACATCAAGGGCCCCAAAGTAGATATTGATGTCCCAGATGTGGACGTCCATGGCCCAGACTGGCACCTGAAGATGCCCAAAGTGAAAATGCCCAAATTCGGCATGCCCGGCTTCAAAGGAGAGGGTCCAGAAGTGGACGTGAGCCTGCCCAAGGCTGACATTGACATCTCAGGCCCCAAGGTGGACATTGATGTTCCAGATGTGAATATTGAAGGTCCTGATGCAAAACTGAAGGGGCCCAAGTTCAAGATGCCCGAGGTGAACATCAAAGCTCCCAAGATCTCCATGCCTGACATTGATTTGAACCTGAAAGGTCCCAAGGTGAAGGGTGATGTGGATGTTTCCCTGCCAAAGGTGGAAGGTGACCTCAAGGGCCCTGAAATTGACATCAAGGGCCCCAAAGTGGACATTGACACCCCAGATGTGGGCATCCATGGCCCAGACTGGCACCTGAAGATGCCCAAAGTGAAAATGCCCAAGTTCGGCATGCCTGGCTTCAAGGCAGAGGGCCCAGAAGTGGACGTGAGCTTGCCAAAGGCTGACATTGACATCTCTGGCCCCAAGGTGGACATTGATGCTCCCGATGTGAATATTGAAGGTCCTGATGCAAAACTGAAGGGGCCCAAGTTCAAGATGCCCGAGATGAACATCAAAGCCCCCAAGATCTCCATGCCCGATCTTGATTTTAACTTGAAGGGCCCCAAAGTGAAGGGTGATGTGGGTGTCTCTCTTCCCAAAGTGGAAGGTGAGCTCAAGGGCCCTGAAATTGACATAAAAGCCCCCAAAGTGGACATAGACAGTCCTGATATCAACATTGAAGGTCCAGAAGGAAAACTGAAGGGCCCCAAATTTAAGATGCCAGAGATGCACATCAAAGCCCCCAAGATCTCCATGCCTGACCTTGACTTAAATCTGAAAGGGCCAAAGGTCAAGGGGGATGTGGATCTTTCACTACCTAAGCTAGAAGGGGATCTGAAAGGGCCAGGAGTGGACATTGAAGTTCCTGAAGGGCATCTCAAAGGTCCCAAATTCAAGATACCTGATGTCCATTTCAAAACCCCACAAATTTCCATGAGTGACATTGATTTGAACTTGAAAGGTCCTAAGGTCAAAGGAGATTTGGACATTTCTGTTCCTAAATTGGAAGGAGATCTGAAAGGCCCCAAAGTGGATATTAAAGGCCCCAAGTTGGACATTGACACTCCCGACTTTGACATTCATGGTCCAGAAGGGAAACTCAAGGGTCCCAAGTTTAAAATGCCTGACCTGCACCTCAAGGCCCCCAAGATTTCCATGCCTGAAGTTGACCTGAATCTGAAGGGCCCGAAGGTGAAGGGTGATGTGGACCTTTCTCTGCCCAAAGTGGAAGGTGACCTCAAGGGCCCTGAAGTTGACATCAAGGGCCCCAAAGTAGATATTGATGTCCCAGATGTGGACGTCCATGGCCCAGACTGGCACCTGAAGATGCCCAAAGTGAAAATGCCCAAATTCGGCATGCCCGGCTTCAAAGGAGAGGGTCCGGAAGTGGATGTGAACCTGCCCAAGGCTGACATTGACTTCTCAGGCCCCAAGGTGGACATTGATGTTCCAGATGTGAATATTGAAGGTCCAGATGCAAAACTGAAGGGACCCAAGTTCAAGATGCCCGAGATAAATATCAAAGCTCCCAAGATCTCCATGCCTGATGTTGACCTGGAATTGAAAGGACCTAAAGTAAAAGGAGATTTTGATGTTTCTGTTCCTAAGATTGAGGGTGCTTTCAAAGGCCCAGAAGTTGACCTTAAAGGCCCAGGTCTGGATTTTGAAGGCCCTGATGCGAAACTCAGTGGCCCACATTTGAAGATGCCTTCATTGGATATATCTGCCCCTAAAATAACTGCTCCTGATATTGATTTGCATCTCAAAGCTCCCAAAATTGGAATTTCTGGTCCCAAGTTAGAAGGTGGTGAACTGGACCTCAAGGGGCCCAAAGTTGATTTAGAAGCTCCAAGCTTAGATGTACACATGGAGACCCCAGATATGAACATTGAGGGACCAGATGTGAAAGTCCCCAAGTTTAAGAAACCCAAGTTTGGATTTGGGGCCAAAAGCCCCAAAGCTGACATCAAATCACCTTCGCTGGAAGTGACTGTTCCGGAGGCAGAGCTCAACGTTGAGACGCCTGAAATTAGTGTTGGTGGCAAGGGCAAGAAAAGTAAGTTTAAAATGCCAAAAATTCACATGAGTGGTCCTAAAATGAAGGCCAAAAAGCAGGGATTTGATTTGAATGTTCCTGGGGGTGAAATTGACGCCAGTCTCCAGACTCCTGATGTTGATGTTAATCTCGCAGGGCCGGATGCCTCTCTTAAAGTTGATGTGAAATCTCCCAAAACCAAAAAAACTATGTTTGGAAAGATGTACTTTCCCGATGTAGAATTTGACATTAAATCACCTAAATTTAAAGCGGAGGCCCCTCTCCCTAGCCCCAAAATAGAGGGTGAAATCCAGGCACCCGATCTGGATATTTCTTCACCAGGGATTAATGTGGAAGGTCCTGATATCAAGCTGAAGGCTCCTAAGTTCAAGATGCCAGATGTGGAAGTGTCAGGGCCAAAAATAGAGGGTGATCTGAAGGGCCCCAGGGTGCAGGCAAACTTGGATGCATCTGGCATCAACATCGAAGGCCCAGATGCTAAGGTCAAAACTCCGTCATTTGGCATCTCTGCCCCTCAAGTCTCCATCCCTGAAGTGAACGTTAACTTGAAAGGCCCAAAGATAAAGGGGGATGTCCCAGGTGTGGGGCTGGAAGGACCAGACATAGACCTGCAAGGTCCAGAATCGAAAATCAAGTTCCCCAAGTTTTCGATGCCCAAGATTGGTGTCCCTGGTCTGAAAATGGAAGGTGGAGGTGCTGAGGTCCAGCTGCCCTCTCTTGAAGGAGGCTTGAGTGCACCAGATGTTAAGCTCGAAGGGCCTGATGTATCTCTGAAAGGGCCAAAAGTAGACTTACCTTCGGTGAACCTCTCTATGCCAAAAGTCTCAGGGCCTGACCTTGACCTGAACTTGAAGGGACCAAGTCTGAAGGGAGATCTGGATGCCTCTGTCCCAAGCCTGAAGATGCAGGCCCCAGGACTTGATCTCAAAGGTGGCAGTGGGAAGGTGAAATTGCCGGGAATCGATGTCATGTCATCCGTGAATGTTGCTGCACCAGAGGTGACCCTGAAGGGACCAAGCCTGCAGGGAGACCTGGCTGTCTCTGGTGATGTCAAGTGCCCTAAAGTGTCAGTCGGTGGCCCCGATCTCAGCTTGGAGGCACCAGAAGGTGGCATCAAACTTCCTCAGATGAAGCTGCCTCAATTTGGCATCTCCACCCCAGGGTCTGACTTGGACGTCGGCATCCACGGGCCACAAGTCACCGGAGAGCTCAAGGGGCCAGGCCTGAGCCTGAAAGGGCCTCAGATCTCAGCACCAGATGTGGACTTAAGCTTGGAAGGACCAAAAGTGAAAGGGAGCTTCGGGGCCAGTGGCGAGATGAAAGGCCCGATAGTTGGAGGAAGTCTCCCTGGCGTCAGTGTGCAAGGCCTGGACGGAAGCCTCCAGATGCCTGGGGTGAATGTGAAACTCCCAACAGGGCAGCTCTCTGGTCCTGAAATCAAGGGTGATCTGAAAGGGTCAGGCTTAGGTTTCCACGGGGCTGCTCCTGACATCAGTGTGAAGGGGCCTTCATTGAGTATGGCTGCTCCTGAATCAGAGTTTGGTGTCAGCTTGAAGGGCCCCAAGATCAAAGGTGGTGTGGATGTTTCAGGGGGTGTCAGCACTCCAGACATCAGCCTGGGCGAAGGGCATATGAACATCAAAAGTTCCGGTGTTGAGTGGAAAGGACCTGCTGTCAACGTGGATGCCCCCAGATTTGCTGGAGGACTTCATTGCTCAGGACCAAAGGTAGAAGGAGGTGTCAAAGGAGGGCAGGTTGGACTCCAGGGTCCTGGGCTGGGTGTGTCTGGGCCTCAAGCTCACTTGGAAAGTGGATCTGGAAAGGTAACATTCCCCAAGATGAAGATCCCCAAGTTCACCTTCTCTGGCCGTGAGCTGGTTGGCAGAGAAGTGGGGGTGGATATCAACTTCCCTAAAGCGGAAGCCAGTGTCCAGGCGGCTGCTGGAGAGGGCGAGTGGGACGAGGCCGACGGCAAACTTAAGAAGTCCAAAATCAAAATGCCCAAATTTAATTTTTCCAAACCTAAAGGGAAAGGAGGTGCCACAGGCTCGCCGGAAGCCTCCATCTCAGGGTCCAAAGGTGACCTGAAGAGCTCGAAGGCCAGTCTGGGCTCCCTGGAAGGAGAGGTCGAGGCTGAGGCATCATCTCCCAAGGGCAAATTCTCCTTATTTAAGAGTAAGAAGCCCCGGCACCGCTCCAATTCCTTCAGTGACGAGAGGGAATTCTCTGCGCCTTCCACCCCGACTGGAACTTTGGAATTTGAAGGTGGCGAAGTGTTGGTGGAAGGTGGGAAAGTCAAAGGGAAACAGGGGAAGCTGAAGTTTGGTACCTTTGGTGGATTGGGGTCAAAGAGCAAAGGTCATTACGAGGTCACCGGGAGCGACGAGGAGGCCGGCAAGTTGCAAGGGAGCGGAGTGTCCTTGGCCTCTAAGAAGTCCCGCCTGTCATCTTCTTCCAGCAACGACAGTGGAACGAAGGTTGGCATCCAGCTGCCGGAGGTGGAGCTATCGGTCTCCACGAAGAAAGAGTAGTGGGCCGCCGAGGGTGTGTACATATATATATATAAAATACATCAGCCTTGGGTGTGTTTGTATATAAACTGCAAAGAGAAACACACCGACAGCCTCAGCAATAATGCAAAGATCTTGCCTCTCCCAGCGGCAAGCACTGAAGAACCAACCGCCTCTCGGCTCCTGGAGCTTGACAGAGGGGTAAAGAGTTACAAGTCCTCCAGCCCAGGTGCAAGTTCAGCAGTATTTGCCTTGAGATTTCAGTTGTTTTTTTGTTTTTTTTTTTTTTTTTGCATTAAATGCTGAGAACTATTGTTTACTAAGCAAGCTTTTGTGTTTATTATTCTCATTTTTACTGAACATTATTAGTGTTGTGGTAATGGAAACTCATTTTTTTTTCATTGTAATGACTTTTGGGGGGTTTGTTAGTAAGGGTGGGGTGGGGTAGAAGGCCGGACAAGAGGTCAACTCTCTGTTTCTTGAAGAGTGGCTCTTCTTGGACAGCAAACGCCCAAAGATGGCTGAGACCCGCTGCCGGTGGGGCGTGTGGGTGTTTCTAGAGCTCTCTAATGTTGCTTTTTCCCCAGGGAGGGGTGGTGGTCCCAAGCCAGTTTGGTGCTCACAGTGAGAGGGAATTAGAATCTGTTTGCAAATTGTCCAGCCAGCCAGCTCAACGTGAGGGGCTTCCATTCTGTGCATTGTTGGAGAAGTTTTTCTTCAAGACCGCCATGTTCCTGTCAGGTCTGGCTTATAGTAAATGAACTAATGATTAAGAAATTTTCCAGCACTTTAATGGCAGTTTAAGTGAGAATCTAAGAAAATTTATTTCTTTTCCAAAGAAAATAAAGCTATTAACCTCGACTTCTTGTGCCTTTTTTTTTTTTTTTTAAAGATTTATTTATTTATTTATACAAGCACTGGGTACAATCAGAAGTGCAGGAGGGCGAGAGAATTCACCAGAGCCAGAGCGGGGAGCAGAACAGGCAGAAGGACCGAAGCACACTGCTGGGGGGAGCAGCGGGCGGCAGGAGAGGTCTGCGCGCCATGTGGGACCCTCGCCAGTGGCCGGGGATCGAACTGGCGCTGCAGAGGCTGCTGGGAGCCTCGCAGCCCAGCACTCACCCGCTGCGCCACGGGGGAGGCCCGACTTCTTGTGCCTTTGCATTCTGTTTTGAGGGGGATGGAGCCTGCGAAGGCCGCATGCCCAGGGTACAGGCTGGATCCACTCTGTGGCACTGTGAGTTTCATCAGTCACTTTAAAGCAGGGTCTTTGCTTCTCGGTTCTCAGGGGCTCTGGCTGCACCATTGCTGAGAAATCAGGAGAAGCGAGGTGCTGGTGGCCTAAGTCCCAGGACCCCGCTCATGGATGCCTCTGTCCATATGAATATACATTCAGAACTGGTTCTCAGTGGGCACAAGGATACACTGGTCAGGGAAGAAAAGGCCTTCATCACACCCTGCTATGTGTCACCAGCCTGTCCAGGCTGTTCCTGACTTAGCTGCAGGTTTGCATTGTCCCTCTCACCCCCCATCCCCAGATAAAAGCTTCTACACTCTCCAGCACCAGCTTGATGGCTGGCTTCCCCCACAGCCTGGCCCCTCCTGCCCAGTGTGGGCTCCACCTGCCCTGGCTTGGATATTGGATGTGCACCTGTGAGCTTTACCCAGTCTCATCTTGGTCACCAAGCCCATGTGCCTGAGGGTTTATGATGGGATGGAGGTGGGGAATGGGAGCGATTGGGAATTCACTGGAAATTTACATGTAAATCGTATTTCTACGGGTTGATGAGGATAGGGATGACTCTGGGGCTCTCAGGGTGACATCTCATTGGCTAGCACAGCCAGAGGTGGTGGGGGAGATGAAGAAGGTAACTGGCCAGTCATTCAAGAGAAACTTCTGAGTCAGCCCCTGCCCAAAGCAGGCCCAAGTGGGAGGCATTGGCCGTGGATGGGAGCCTCTCGACTGCAGTAACCATTACCATAGAAAGGGCAGCAGGGAGGAGGTACCAGGGGTCAGAGTGCATGTGGGGGCCACCCCTACTGGCTTTCCTTCACCCAGACCGCTTCCACTCCCCACCTGCCCACTCTCACGGCCTCGTCTCCCGGACTTCTCTTGGCCCTTGATGGGGATGGTTCAAGTTACTTCCCAAAGTCTGACAGCCTCAGATTCTTGAGATCTTACACTCTGAGGTCCTGGTTCCTGCCCTGGAGCATGAGAGTCTCCTCAGGAAACCAGGGAAGGGCCTGCCTGGGTGCTGGCAGGCAGCAGGCAGCAGGCCCTGCAGCCAGGAAGATCAGCAGTCTCCCTGCATACCTTGCCCTTGGCAGGATGATTATGAGTTGGAAGTGCTGTGTTTAAAAGGACATTCAGAAAACAAATTATTTTATTTCTTTGTGAGTTTTTAAATTTTAACTTTTTCCCCTATGGAATTTTGCTGCTATAATTAAAAATTTTTTTAAAGATTTGTTTATTTATGCATACAAGAACCGGGGTATAGGCCAGAGGTGCGGGGGGTGAGAGGATGCACCAAAGATAGAGTGGGGAGCAGAACAGGCGAATTGACTGAGATACACTGCTGAGGGGAGCAGCCGGTGAGACAGGAGAGGTCTGCTGAGCCATGTGGGTCGCTCCCTTGCTGACTGGATGGAACTCGCACTGCAGTGGCTGCCAACAGCTTCATAGTGCTAAGACTTAACCCTTGTGCCAACAGGAAGGCCCCAGTAAACCCAAGTTTTCAAGATAGAAAGTCCAAGAAAGAAGTCCAAGTTTGGGCAAGTCTCGCTGCCAGCACTCTCTAAGGCAGTGGCCCTGCCTTGGCGTGCTCTTGGGCTGGGAGTTCAGAAAATGGCGTTCTGGCTTTGGGCTCCACAGCACAGAGCAGCTCTCTGTCTCTCCTCAGGAGGACAAAGAATGCGGTGCCTGAATTCTTGCCACCGCCAGCAACTGAGAAGGCCACGTGCTGTTTACCAGCCTCTGGATGAGATGGGATGGTCGGGTGGCCAGCAGGGTGTGGCGGCAGGGGAACCCAAGCCACAAGTGCTTCCTAAGGCCCAAGACTCCCAGCAAAGGCGCTGTTCCAGCCACAGCAAATGTGTGGGGAACATTCTGCTGAGGCGCTGCTTTCAGTTCCCTTAAAAAACCTCTGTGATTTTCCACCACCCGCTTGAGGCCCGGCCTTCATGGAGAAACCTCCCAGCAGTGAGGTCAAAGATGGGAAAGTGTTAAGAGTGAAAAGACCTTGTCTTTGGACAGAGCATTCTGGGCCACAGAGGCCTTTATTTTCAGGTTTCACACTGGGTTCCCAGCATGGCCACAGCAAGACAGCTCACAGAAAGGTGAGATTTGGCCAAACAAAGCTACTGGTCTCAACTCAGAGATCTGGGAGGAGGTGACTGCCTGGGTCAGTGTCAGTTTTCTCTAATTTTTTGTCCTTGTCCATGTTACCATCGCTGCTTCCCTAAGGAAAGGGGGACTATTTTTCTGGAGAGTTCTTAGGAAATGAAAGATGTCCTTTGAAGGGTATTGTTGGGCTTTGACCTTTTAACAATATCCCTGAAATGAGTAATTAGAAACTTTCCTTATGAGCCTCCAGTTTAGTGGGGGAAAAATAAATAAAAGCTCTATGAGTTGGGCGGCTTCAAGCTGTGTGATCTTGGGCAAGTTATGGAAATTCTGTGTGCCCCAGTTCCCTTGTCTAGAACACAGGGATGGTCTGCTACCGAGCTCGAGTGCCCTTGCCAGGTTGATGTAAATACTGTAGGTGTTATATTTCTATTGAGTACTTACTTTTGTTAGACATCTTACACATACATTGCACATGTTTTATCTCTTGATTTCTACAATAATCCTGCGGGGTGGCAATCTTTTCCTCACATGTATATATATAAAAAAGAGACTGGAAGAGGTGAAGGTTTATGTTCAGGGTGAACCTGGTGCAGATGGCAGAGTAGGAATGCAAGAGGCCCTGACTTACTCTCTCTGCCCTGTCAGCTCTGCCAGCAGCAAACTCGAGTTAATAACATTGTTCCTTAGGCTTTCAAGGATTGGAGAGGAGCATTCCAGATGCAGGAGCCCCAAAGGGAAGCTGGGAAGTGAAGTGTGCCCCTAGCTTCAGCAAGGCTGTGTGTGTGCAGGACGGAGAGCCGCAACCCCTTGGCTTGGCTGATTTCTGGTGGAGCCCGCAGAGGGAAGCAAAACAGTAGAACCGTTTACCCCGAGGGTTCAGCCGCTGCTGGGCTCGCCTGCTGGTGCCACCTGGATCTCCCCTCCAACGTCTGCACTCTCCCTGGATGCTGATGAGCAAGGGAGAAACAACAAAAACATTTGCATTGCAATTAGCCCCACCCACTGGTCCAGGCTGCCGGGAGGCCCCTGAGCGTATCCCATTGAGTCCCCACTCTACTCGGGCCACTCTGCAGCTACGGGAACGCGCCGTCCACAGCCAGCTGGGGCCCCGCGGGGCTGAGTTCTGTCTGAGACTGTGAGGGGGCTTCAGATAAGAGTTTGGGTGCAGAACGGAGTCGTCTCCCCTCACGGTGGGGGGCCCTGTGGTGTCTGCTCCCCAGGCAGAGACCCGCGAGGCCAGAGAACTCGCGAACACCAGCGTGTGAGCTGGGGGCTCCCTCGGGCGGACTCCGCGGCCTCACCCCCACCTGCTCGTCCACTCCCACCAGCGCCCACCTAAGGGGAAGGGCCTGGGCCTCAGCGAGCTTGGACCACTGGCTCTTCATCCCAAAGATTATGGGGGTGTCAGGGAAGGTGGAAGCAAGTGGAAATGGAGGGGAGCGCAGAAGAGGAGCTCAGGTTGGGGCTGGGGTGGGGGGGGTGGGGGTGGGGGGAAGGCAGCTGGGCTGGAAGAAGCCCTAGGAATTGGAGAGAGGGAAGGGACAACGTTTGCAAAGAGCGACTGGGAACGTGGAAGGATGAGAAGGAAGAAAGGAAGCGAGAACACACGGGGAGCAGGGGTAGCGGCCAAAGGTCCTGCTCCCCATCTCCATCAGTCCCTCCTGGCACCCCAAATAAATTTATTATCAAGCAAAGCTGCGCGCTTGCAAGGTCCCCCTCTCCAGTCTTAAACCCTCCCCTCGGGACCACCAGCGCCCAGGCAGAGAGAGGGCCTCCGAAGGAGCTTCGCCGTCCCGGGGAGCGGCGGGAGGAGAGAGGGACGGAGTGTCCAGGGAGCTCCTGTCGCCCCCCCTTCTATGTCCAGGGAGCTCCTGTGGCCACGCCCCTTCTATGTCCAGGGAGCTCCTGTGGCCACGCCCCTTCTATGTCCAGGGAGCGCCTGTCGCCACGCCCCTTCTACCCAACTGCCAATCGCCAGGCCGCGTCCTGGTCTTGTGATCCGTTGCCAGGCAGATTTCCCCACCTTCCGGCCGCGGGGAGCTGCGGGCCTAGCGGTGGTGGCCTGGGGCCGGGCGCAGCCGGGAGAGACACCCCGCGGGTGGGGCGTCGGGAATTTCCTCTGCGTGAGGTTCACACCTTCCAGGCCGTGGCCTCGGGAGCTGTCCTTGTAGTCCCTGTACCCTCGGTAGGTCCCTAAGCCCCTGCCCCTCAGCGCGGGGAGCTTGCTGCCCCCTCAGTGCAGGCCCTGCGGTGGCGGCCTTGTGTTCGAGACCCCGCGGTGCGGAGAGCGCCGGCCGCCGAGTCAGTGCTGGGGGGTGTTGACACTTTACCAGAGGGCTTTGAGGCGCTGCGGGATGGTTCCTCCAGGCCAGCTCTGGGACGGTTGGGGTGGGCGAGCCTCCTGGCAAAGCCTCACCAACTGCGTGGGTCGGTGCCCACCTAGCCTTCCCCTCGGGGAGCAGGAGGGGAAGCTGAGCCCGCACCCCAGCCTGCGGCGGTTCACCCCTGG